TCATTCTAGGGGATCGACTGGCACATCTTCTTGAAAGGATTCTTCTACACATTGCTTAATGACATCTACCCGAAAGCAAGTGCTTGGATCTTCTGGAAATCTCATGGCTTGGTAGATGTTGAACATAATCTCTTCCTTGTTCACTCTCAATGTTAACTCACCATTTTGAACATCAATCAAAGCCCTTCCCATAGCCAAGAATGGTCTGCCAAGAATTAGTGGGACTTGTTGATCTTTCTCCATATCTACCACCACAAAATCAACAGGAAAAATAAATTTATCCACCTTTACCAATACGTTTTCTATGATTCCACGTGGATACTTGATAGATCGGTTTGCTAGTTGCAAAGAAATGGTTGTTTGTTTCATCTTTCCAAGTCCCAATTTCCTGTAAACAGAAAGTGGCATAAGGTTAATGCTAATACCAAGATCACATAAAACTTTATCAAAAAATGAATTTCCAATAGTGCAAGGAAAAGTGAAACTCCCTGGATCTTTTAATTTTTGAGGTAATTTCTTTTGAAGAATAGCACTACATTCTTCAGAAAGCTTCACTATTTCAAACTCCTCTAACCTTCTCTTCCTAAAAATGATTGTGAAGCCCCTGAAATATGTATTCACTTTAAAAACCCTAATGTTTGAATTATTTTCTTAAAGCCCCTCGGTTACTTGAATTAATTCAAATCTTATCGGTTAGCATTACTATTTTTATTTTTATCAAAACAGGAATTACCCTAGCCGGATTAGGTTCCCTAACCTAATTTAATTCTACATAAGTTACATGTATTTAACTCTAAGCCCTCACTCTTTATTTAAATTCAAAACTTATCCCAAAAACTAGTATTTGTACCTTGTACCTTAAAGTACCATCAATCATGTAAGATATATATATATATATACACCTTAAGGAGTGTGCCCTAGGACCAAAATTAATAAAAAAAAAATGGCCCTTCCACCCTTCCCTATGGCCAGCCCTTCTAGAAGAAAGTGAGGAGACCATTTTCAAAATATATCATCATGAAAATCTAGAAACTCACAACCTAGTGCCCTAGACCTAGGATGCAAAATTTTAAAAACTAGTTTCATTTTAACTAAGTGTTGCCTAATCCTTGAGTAAGCCCCCCCCCTCCCCCCCTCCCCCAAATCACTTCTATTCCTTTAAACTTCAAACAAATCCTAAACTTTCCATCCATTTCCAACTAATGGGCTTTTAGGACATTTTACATCAAAATTACCTATATATGCCAACCTCCCCTAGTTTGGCAAAGCACAAGCACCACACCCACACACACACATTCAGCTAGAGAGAGGGAGGAGAGCAAGAGAGAGAAGTCTAGAGGAGAAGAAGGAGGAAGAAGAGAGCCTTCTTGTGCAAAGTAGCAAGTAAGCCACAAACACAACCTTCTCTTTCATTTTTCTTTTTTCAATACATGTTTCTAAGGGTTCTAAATGATGTTTTCAGACCTATTATTAATGAGTTCTTATGTTAAAAATGCTAAGGGTTGAGTATTGATTCCATCTCTCTTGTATTTTTCCCATTTTGGCACAAAACCATCTTTTTTTTTATGTCAATCTCTCAACTTTCCAAGGGCACTCTTTCAAGCAAATTTTTTGAGTTAAATATATGTTAGTTAGCATGTTTTCTTCACAAAAGAAGCGAAAACTTTCCCTTGGTGGAACCTTTTTCTCATAAAACTTCTTGTTTTGGGCACAATACCTTAGAATCTGTTTTTGCAGCCCACTTCCAGAAATTCTAGAAAAATGTATAAAATTATTCTGGACCTCTATTTCATGTCAAAATCTTCCTTGAGGAGTTATCTTTCAACCGAAATTTGTTTCATCGAAAAACATTAAGCGGTTTGCAAGAAAATCAAATTTTCATAACGGTCGACGGATCTGGACAGAATCTGGACAGCGCTAAAATATTTTCTGAATAACTTAGAATCTGGAAAAGCAATCCCGTTTCTGAAAAATGTTCTAGAAACTAGATCAAATTCTCTACAAACCATAGGAAGGCCGAGTCTGGTGAAGGATCTAAAATAGACCTTTCATTTTAATCTTTATGCGATACTAAATCTGGAAATTTTGTTATGTGTGGATGTTTTATACCCTTGAGTTCATGAGATTGCTTATGAGCTTATGATCATAACTTGGCAAGATATTATATGTGTTGTGGTTATGTTATTTACCTTTTTCATCTTAAGAATGCATGCTTATATGGATATTATTGTCTTGTAAGTTGGACTAACCTTAATTTAAAACATTTAATTCAACGAGAAACCTAATAGGGAGGGTATTGGGTTTTCAAACACTTGAGTAATGAAAAGATGAGAATATGTGATATATGGATTGTTGGGATGCGTTCCCTATTTGAAAGTTAAAGTCTTGCGCAAGTGGTTTTCGGAACTCTTGAACGGAGCGGTTGTGGTGGTTTGGTGTGAGGAGGGATTTGGGCAAGGCCCTATTTTACCATCTCTTTTGAGGCCCTGCGGTTGGCGTTACGCGGTATATAACCGTTGGTAGGCATCCGAGGTTAGTTCTGCAATAAAGCAGCAAAAGAGGGGGCATACCGAATAATCTGCGTCCGATTCTTGTGGTTGGGAGGATGAAATCTCTTTGGGGGATTTCTAGTTTGCTAACATCTAACTTAACCCTTTATTTATTTATTTGAGTATCATGCTTTACTACTTGATGTTATAATTGTGATTGTGTATTGGATTGGGAAAAAAGGACGGGGTGTGTGTGTGTGTTTACTGGGCATTCAAAGCTCATGGCGTATCATGCCAGGTGACGAAGAGGAACTCATAGCTAGAGATGACAAGCCTGAAACTTTCGAAGACTTTTGGCTATCCTAGAAAAATTAGAAGTTTCTTATTGGATATTTTGTAAAGACTCATGTGAAGACTTAAGCTTCCTTTTGGGATGTAATGTAATGGGACCATCTTTTGAATTAAGTATATTGTGGTTGTTATGTATTTATATTCTATGTATGAACCTTATCGTTGCTTATGAGACCTTGTGTCAATACCTTTTAAGATCTGTCAAAAGGGCAGTGCGCTGCCTAAGAAAGGTGGACTTAGAAGGGAGATTAATTTGACTCCTCCGGCGATCTGGGATCTTACTTGGTTATTGACCATAGGACTCATTAGTGACTCTCCCTTGACTGCAACCAATAGCGTAGAATCGGGGCGTCACAACTTGGTATCAGAGCCTAGGTTCAACCCTTAACCCTTGCAACCCTATACGCGACTCTAGAAGCCCTTACCCCTTATCTTATTTTATTCTATCATGCTATTCTAAGAAGATTAACTAATGAAAGTCTTTTTCCACCTTAGGATGTCATCGGGAGACTATCCAGGACATGCCGTCAGTCTTGACTCGTGGGGTACTGTCCGCATGCAAGAAAGGAGGGCCATGTCTGTTAGCCCCTGTTTTAGCCGCCGACGCTGTATAAGTGCCACTGAGGAAATGATCAGAACCGAGATACGTAAGGTGGAGACAGAGTACTCCCGCTAGACGAGGGAGCAGAAGAGGTCCCTGGTGCGGCGGCGCCTACAATTCTTGAGCCGGGCAGTGAAGAAGGCTATTCGAATGGAGCAAAATGATCAGAGGATGGACTTCTTGATACACTAAGCTTTGACCACCAGAGCATACCACCAACCACCAACTCCGGCTGAAAGTCACACATCTTCTTATTAGGAGCCAAGCAACCATCAACCAATGAATACGGAACAGTCACCAGAACAGCAAGGAGCAAACCCAACCTACCCTATAGAGGTGTCATCTGAACACAATCCCCCCTCACCAATGTACACCCCCCGCTCTCCGGACCAAGCCACCGACTCCGCTGATGAAGACCTAGAAGAAGACTTTGATTGGTCGGGAAACGAGAACTAATTCGAGGGATAGTAAAACTAGACGTTTGTAAGACCCGCTGATGGGGATCCTTAGAATAAGATAGCCTGAACTTTGTAATGCGTAGATGCTCTTTGAATGTAACTCTGACATAGGAGCCCTTTTGTAATGATGCCTATTATAATATATGAATGATGTATTGATCTATGTTATTGGCTGTTACTTGCTTTAGTGTATCCTAAAGAAACTGAACCTTTATTTCAAATCTAAGTAGTAAGATTTTCTAAGATTGGAAACCAACTCATCACGTGCCGTGAACAGAATGGTGGACACGCGAGCTAATGGCTATACCGAAACCAGCAACAATGTACGAAACCGTCCCAGAAATCAACACGAACCCATCCCCGCAGGGGCTGACATCCCCAATAACCTAGGTCATCAAATTTTGGAGGAACTAGGGCAAATAAGGAACAATCGGCAGAATGAGAGGACTCGACTCTTTTCTGACTTTCAGAAGTAGAGGCCCCCAAAGTTCACAGGCGTACCAGACCCGAAGATAGCTGAAAATTGGCTTCGGCAGATAGAGAAAATGCTAGACACCATGGGCATAACTGAGGCCGCTGATAGAATAGCTTTGGCAGTATTCAAGCTTGATGCTGAGGCTGACCATTGGTGGGAGTTAATCAAGAATACTCGTGACGTAGTAAGCCTATCATGGGATAAATATTTCCCAAGTAAATATTTCTAAATAAATATTTCCCAAGTACTATCCGCTGACAACGAGTCAAGAAATTCCAAAACCTAGAACAAGGAAATATGATCGTGACCCAGTATGTTGCAAAATTTGAAGAGCTAGCCCGTTACGCAACCAGATACGTAGCAAATGATGAAGAGAAAGCAAAGATGTTCGAGTGGAGACTGGACCTTACAATCAGGGGAAGAGTTCTTCCGCAACGACTCCCCTCATATGCTGAGGTACTGGAGACGGCATTAGAATCTGAAAGGGAAATAACCGACGCCAGGAAAGCTTGGAACAAGAGAAAATGGAGTCAGGCGTCTATTGGACCTCAGAGGAACCAGAAGAGAAACATGACCTCAATGCCCTACTCCAGACCACAACCATAACAGCAACGACAGCAATAGATCCAGAGAGGAGGCTATCAACAAAGGCCGATGGGACAAATCCAGTGCTTTTATTGCCAACAATTAGGGCACAAAAAGAGCGAATGCCCCTAACTCCCCCCATCTGGATACCAAGGAGGAGGTTCTGGAGCAAATGCCCAGGCGTTAGGTGGGCAGAAGCCTTGGACAAATAAGACAGGATCTACCGGGCAACAGCACCAGAAGAGTGGAGGAACTCAAAACGCCAAGACCAGTGGCAACCAGAAGGCAACCGGCAGAATCTTTGCCCTGCAAGAGGAAGAAGCGGACCCGTCTGTAATTGAGGGTAATTTAGTACTATACAATTCTTGGGTGCATGTTTTATTTGATACCGGTGCATCGCATTCTTTTATATCCTCTGCTTGTGCTAAGTCATTTGAACTTGTATGTGAACCTTTAGAAACTGCCTTAAGTGTAATGTCACCTATGGGAGGATGCGTTCGGGTAGGATCGATCTGTAAGGACTGTAAGATAGGGATGTCGAACCTACGCTTAACTTGCGACCTTCGTATCATGGAAATGTCGGACTTTGATATCATCTTGGGCATGAATTAGTTGTCCGCCCACCGAGCGGTGATCGACTGTCGTCAGAAAAAGGTGGTAGCTCACACCCAAGATAGAACACGTTTCCAGTTTAAGGGGGATAGACAAGACCCCATGGCTTCAACAAAACATCGGACGCAGTGGCACGATCAACTTGCGAATAGGATAGCAAGTCTGATTCTAAATGAGGAGGACCAAGGAGAAATAGAACTTCCACGCGTAGTATGCGAGTATCCAGATGTATTTCCTACGGAATTACCAGGATTGCCACCAACCCGAGAAGTAGACTTTAGCATCGAGCTATAACTTGGAACTACCCCAATATCCATGGCTCCGTATCGCATGGCACCAGCAGAACTACGAGAATTAAAGACACAACTACAGGAATTGCTCAAGAGAGGATTCATTAGGCCAAGTACTTCACCATAGGGGGCACCCGTGTTGTTTGCTAAAAAGAATGATGGATCGTTGAGGCTATGCATCGATTATCGTCAACTCAATTGAGTCACGATTAAGAACCGATACCCACTCCCAAGGATTGATGACCTTTTTGACCAACTTAGAGGCTCTAGGTGCTATTCAAATATCGATCTCAGGTCAGGTTACCATCAACTACGAGTCAAGGAGGAGGATATACCAAGGACTGCCTTTCGTACTAGATATGGCCACTATGAGTTCGTAGTAGTGCCCTTTGGATTAACCAATAGACCGACAGTATTCATAAGCCTAATGAATAAGATTTTTAGACCATACCTTGACCAGTTTGTAGTAGTATTCATTGATGACATCTTGGTATATTCAAGGTCTGAAGAAGAGCATGCGCAACATTTAAGGACTGTCCTCCAAGTTCTTAGGGATAATCGGTTATATGCCAAGGCGAGTAAATGTGAGTTTTGGTTGAATGAAATAAAATTCTTAGGGCATGTGGTATCAGAGAATGGGATTGTGGTGGATCCAACCAAGGTGGAGGTAGTATTAGATTGGAGACAACCAAAAACCGTGTCAGAAATCCGCAGCTTCTTAGGATTGGCCGGTTATTACCGGAGGTTCATCCAAGATTTCTCCAAACTAGCTAAACCAATGACTCGTTTGACGCAAAAGGGAGTAAAGTATGAGTGGGACGAAGCTTGCGAAAAATCCTTCCAAGAGCTAAAAAAGAGGTTAACTAGTGCGCCAATTTTGACCATCCTAGAACGAGAAGAGGGATACACTGTGTACTGCGATGCGTCTAAAGAAGGGCTAGGTTGCGTGCTCATGCAAAATGGAAAGGTAGTCACATATGGGTCCAGGCAGTTGAAACCTCATGAGCGCAACTATCCCACACATGACTTGGAGTTAGCAGCCGTAGTTTTTTCCTTAAAGCAGTGGTGACATTACCTGTATGGGGAACAATTTGAGATTTTCACAGATCACAAGAGTCTGAAGTATCTATTCACACAGAAGGACCTTAACTTGAGACAGAGACGATGGATGGAGTATCTTGAGGATTTCCAGTTCACTCTCTCATATCACCTCGGTAAAGCCAATGTAGTAGCAGATGCTCTAAGTCGTAAAAGCAGAGGGATGATGGCTAAGATCTCCGTCAGAGAATGGGATATGGTTAAGACACTCAATGAGTTCAGGATCCAAGTGGAATCTCGAGATACGAAAGCATATCTTAGTGCGCAGAAGGTGATGCCTAAGTTGATGAATGAGGTCATGGAGGCCCAGAAGCACGATCAAGGGGTAGCCTAATCAAGGGACGTCTGGAATCAGGAGAACCCATGCCCGATTAGGTGATTCACCCCGATGGGAGTTTAAGATACCAAGGTAGATTGTTTGTACCAAGTGACGAGCTACTTAGAGAGAAGGTACTGAAGGAATGTCATCATTCTGCGTTTGCGGTGCATCCAGGAGGGACCAAAATGTACCAAGATTTGAAAAGACAGTATTAGTGGAATGGAATGAAGAAGGAAGTGGCTAGGTTTGTAGCGAAATGTTTGACATGCCAACAAGTGAAGGCGGAACATCAGAAACCAAGGGGAATGTTGCAACCTTTACCAATAGCCGAATGGAAGTGGGAGTACGTAACGATGGATTTTGTGAGAGGGTTGCCTAAGTCACCTAGAGGACGCGATGCTATATGGGTAATAGTGGACCGTCTCACCAAGTCAGTACATTTCTTACCCTATAAGATGACCAACACTTTAGAGTCTATGTGCAGACTCTATATTGGGGAGATTATTCGACTACATGGAATTCCGATATCTATTATGTCAGATCGTGATCCATGGTTCACCTCTCGATTTTGGGGGAGCTTGCAGGAAGCTCTTGGTACTAAGTTATGTTTTAGCACCGCCTTTCACCCGCAGACGGATGGACAATCTAAACGCACTATCCAGACACTCGAAGGTATGTTTAGAGCTTGCGTAATGGATTTTCAAGGAAGTTGGGAACGACACCTACCCCTAATTGAATTCGCCTACAACAACAGCTTTCAAGCTAGCATCGGTATGGCGCCTTTTGAAGCATTATATGGACGACCTTGTAGATCGCCGATTTGTTGGGCGGAAGTGGGTGATGCAAATCTGATAGGACCCGAACTTGTTCTAGAGACTACTGAGAAGGTCAAATTGATCTGACAACAGTTAAAGACTGCCCAAGACCGTCAAAAGAATTATACAGACAGGAGGAAAAGACCATTGATGTTTGAAGTAGGCAGCCACGTGTTCCTAAAGGTGCAACCTAGGCGTGGAGTCGTACGTTTTGGGAGAAATGGGAAGCTGGTCACCATGATATATTGGGCCTTTTGAGGTATTAGAAAGAGTGGGTGAAGTAGCATATAGACTAGCTCTACCCCCGTAGTTAGCAGGGATACACAACATCTTCCATGTATCTATGTTGAGAAAATACATCGCTGACCGGTCACACGTCCTCAAATAGGAAGAGATCAGTCTTGACAAAGATGTTACGTTTAAAGAAGGACCAGTAGCAATACAGGATCGTCGAGAAAAGAACCTTAGAGGCAAGACGGTTCACTTGGTGAAAATGCTATGGCATCATCGGGGAATTAAGGAATCTACTTGGGAACGCCAGGATTGGGTGAAGGCAAACTACCCCGAGCTTTTCGAAGGCAGTATGTAGTTGAATTTCGGGGACGAAATTGTTTTAAGGGGGATAGGTTGTGAAGCCCCTGAAATATGTATTCACTTTAAAAACCCTAATGTTTGAATTATTTTCTTAAAGCCCCTCGGTTACTTAAATTAATTCGAATCTTGTCGGTTAGCATTACTATTTTTATTTTTATCAAAACAGGAATTACCTTAGTCGGATTAGTGTAATAACCCCGACCTCTGATTAATGTTAATCCGCACTTATTTATGCCTAACAGTAATTTAGAAGGAATCTGGGATTAATTTGCATATGTATTGCATTAATTCTGTGTTTCTATCTATTTGCTATGAAGTGATCTGTTTATGTGTTGACTTTGAACTGCGAGTTGAAAGCCTTATCGGCGACTGATTCAGAAATTGATTAGTGTGTTATACTAGTTAGATTTTACGTGATTTTATGGTAGATTTAATTAAAATTCGGTTCAGAATGATTAAATTTAATTAAAATAATGCTAGATTTAACATAGATTAAGTGAATGCAAGTTAATTACATCATTGCCCTTGAGTGGGCCACTTTCTCATACATTGTTTAGAATTAGTTCATACACCATTTTCAGCCTCCATTTTTAGCCTCTTTCCTTGCCAAAACTGTGAGAGAGAGGGAGTGAGGGAGGAAATTGAATTCATCTAGAGATTAGCTTGAAGAGTTAGAGAAATTGAAGGAGGATTGCATGTTTAAGGTTCCACACTTGGAATTGAAGACCTAAAGATAGAGAATTCATCCTTTTAATTATGAATGTGAGTTGTACTTGCTAGGTTCATGATGAAATTGGTATTTAAAGTCTAGATTTAGCTCAAAGTGTGGTTTTAAGAGTCCATCCATACATGCATGCATAAATTTCCATGCTTTGAGTTTGAATTCTAAGATTTCTTCCATACATGTGTTAATTTCACTCACATTATGGTCATTCATCTTGTTGTCCATCAAATTATCAAGTTTGGTCATGTTTTGGAGGGTTTGGATTCAATGAGGTTCTTGCATGTTGTATTAATGGCATGTTCATAGAGTTCATGTTGATTTTGCACAAATTGGATTGCTCTTGGGCCATGATTTCTTGAAATGATTTTTAATACATGTTGTTTTATGCGTTATTACATGTTTCTTCAAATATTGGCCTAGAAAAATGAGTTTTGAAGGCTTAAAGGTTGAGTTTCATGCTTGGAGGTCAATCTGGATTTTTTAGAAATTTGACCCACGCTCGAGCGAGTACTTTCACGCTCGAGCGTGAATCCTGAGTACATGCACTTCCGCTCAAGCGTCAATAGTTATGCTCGAGCGTGAAATGTGTATACCCAGAAGTTTGTGTGTTTTGCAGTCCACTCGAACGGGAGAACCCACGCTCGAGCGAGACTCTGAGTCTCACGCTCGAGCGGGGGTCGAGCGCCCGTC